AGTGCAGTAGTTGTGGCACACGGGCTTAGTTGCTCCGTGCCATGTGGGATCTTCCCAGACCAGAGATCGAACCTATGTCCCCTGCCTTGGCAAGCAGTATGTAACTTCTATTTCTTCTCCCCCTCACATTTTAGGTTACTGACTTTATAGTTTACATATGTTTTATGTTGTATACCCAAGGACAGAGTGTTGTAGTTATGATTATTTTTAGTACTTTTTTTCTACTTTTAAACTAGAGTTGTGATTTATGCACCACCATTACTACCATATTACAGACTCTAACTCTGACCATAAATTTACCTGTCCTAGTGAGTTTTGCACTACCTTCATGTCTTTATGATGCTAATTAGAGTCCTTTAATTTTGCTGATGAGCTCCCTCAGCTTTTGTTTGTTTGGCAGAGTCTTTATCTCTCCTTATTTCTGAAGGACAGTTTTGCTGGTATAGAAATCTTAGTTGACAGTTTTTTCTTCTAATATTTTATAACATTTTATAATATTGTACGTTAATTATAATTCAATAAATAAAGTAAAAATTTTAATAATTAAAAAAATATTTTGAATATATCTTCCCATCCTCTCCTGGCCTGAAAAGTTTCTCTTAGAAATCTCTCCATAGTTTTATTGGGGGAGGGTAGCCGGTTCCCTTGTATGTAACTTGTCTCTTTTCTCTTGCTGCTTTCAAAATTGTTTCTTTGTCTTTGACTTTTAACAATTGTGTGTCTCAATGTAGATGTATTTGGGTTCAACCTATTTGGGGTCCTTTGGGTTTCACAGATCTGGATATCCATTTCTCTCCCCAGGCTTGAGACATTTTCAGCCATTATTGCTTTAAATATACTTTCTGTCCCTTTATCTTCTCCTGGAATTGCTGTAATGTGGGTATTGTTGTTTCTGACTATGTTCCCCAAGTCCCTCTGGCTTTCCTCATTCTTTCTTTTTTTTTGCTCCTCTGACTGGATAATTTCAGCTGTCCTGTCTTCCAGGTCACTGATCGTTTCAATTGTTTCTCTGTATTGTGAAGGCTAGTTTTGAAGCTGTCAATTGAAATTTTTCAGTTCAGTGACTGTGTTTTTCAGTTCCAAGATTTCTGGTGTGTGGTTTTCTTTGTTTTTGTTTTTGATGGTGCCTGCTTCTTTTTTGAACTCCTGTTTTGTTCATGTGTTGTTTTCCTAATTTCATTTAGTTGTGTGTGTTATTGTGGTTCACTAAACTTCTTTAACAGGGTTATTCTGAATTCTTTGATAGTTCATAGATATCACATTTCTTTTGGGTTATTGGAGCTTTATTAGTTCCCTTTGGTGGTGTGACATTTACCCGCCATCGTGATGCTTGACTCCTTACGTTGTCTTATGTGCTTTTGAGTGAGTGGGTTCCTCTTCCAGGCCTTATAGATTCTTTGCTAGAGACAGTTCTTGAGCAGCTTAGTTTGGGTTTCTGGACCTGTCAGCTGCTAACGTGCTTAGGCAGATGGGGCTTGCTATGCGTGTTTACTCTGGGGCAAGGCCGCTGTCTGAGCCCTGGGCCCTGAGGTCCTGTTGGGTCGGGGGATTGCTGCTGGCTGACAGTGTTCAGACAGGTTGGCTGGCTTGGTTCTCTGCCCACGTTGAGACTGTAAGAGGGACCGCAGGGGCCTGGGTTCTCTGGTTAGGCTCCACAAACAGCCAGGATGGGATGCTATCCTCAGCAGTAGAGGGGGCTGTGCATTAGCTTCCGTGCCTGGTGGGGCAGCAGCGTGGGCCTCAGGGTCTGCCCAGCTTAATGTCTGGGACCCCAAATCTGGCTGGACTGTGCCTGGATTCCCTGGCTACACGGGGCCACCGGTTTTGCTCTGCAGAAGGGAAAACCTCGGGCTGTGCCCTCCACTCAGCTGCCACCGTAAGCAGGGCTGCTGGATAGACAGCACGGCCTCCTGTGTGCTCTGCTCAGGGCCCCTGGTCAGGCGGGATGAAGGCTGTACTCAGCCGTGGGCGGGCCGTGGGTTAGTTTCCCCTCCCAGGGGCAGCAGATGGTAAGGCTCTTTGTGGTCTTGACTCAAGCTGACCCACGCCCCAAGTTCCCTTGTCGGATGGTGCTGCTGGCTTTGCTTTGTGGGTGATCAGCTCTGCCTGTTGGACTCTGGTTGGCAAGGTTGGGAGCTTTACTCAGCCGTGGGCAGTGCTGTGAATTCACTTTCTGCCCAGGCAGAGCGGGAGGCCCGGAGATCCCAGTCGGGCTTTGTGCTCACGCAGGGCAGTAGACGAGGTGTAACAAGACCCTCCTGCTAAATTGCTCCAACAGAACGAGTTTTGGTAAGTTATGGATGACAACTTTCTTTCTAGGATTCCATAGATTTTCCTCCCATGGGGTGTGAAGTACTTTTTTTTTTAACGGAGTTATGGGCACAGGGAAAAGTAATTCTTCCTTGTTCGGAGCTGAAATTCATTTTCTCATCTCTTTTGGACAGCTTCTTGGGTACTGCTCAGTTTCACAGCGTATCATGTGTGTCTTCATTTTGGGGCCGTCCCTTTCTCCCTGGCTCTCGTCTCACTTATAAAGAATTTTTTTACCCCTGGCCCTTCTGACTGCAAGACGCATTTGAGTTTGTCACCTCTGCCCTCTGAGGATGGAAACTTCCTCACCCCACACCGCAAATGGCACTTGCCCTCCACACAGCCCACCTTTCCAGGTGAGCTCAGGAGCGCTTCCATGTCCACGGGCACCCTTCATATGGTGCTTGTGGAGGGCAGCCTCCCTGAGATCAGGGGCAGAGCCCTTGGGCTGGGACCTGCTGGGTGGCTGCAGTCGTGTCTGTGGGTGACATCCCCGTGTCCCTCTCGGGGTGCGGTTCAGGTGTAAACGTGGGCACTGCAGGCAGAGCAGGTCTGTCAGTGAAGGAGCGGTCTGGCTTTGACACATTCTTTTGGGATCGTTAAGCCCAGCGTGACACGGCCGCGCTCCTGTAGGATGTGCCTGGCCCAGGGTGGGCCTCCCTCAGGCTGCCGGCGGGCCGTTTGCCCCACACTGTACGTGAGCACTCACCACTCAGAACTCCTACTGCTCTGTAGATGTGCCATCACTTGTCACTTAGTAGTTATCTGCCAGCAGAGAGAGGTTTTCGCATCTGGTCTGATTTCTTCCAGGTGCTGTGTCAGCTGTGACCTGGGACATCTGCTTGTTGGGGACGTGGAGCCTCGCTCTTACGTCACCTGGCAGGTATTGCCAGCCCTTGAGCGACGTGTGGCAGTGGGAGAGGTGTCCTGAGTCCCCACAACCAGAGGCCTGGATTCACACGCCGGGGACAGATGTGGCATCCAAGGGGGTGGGGTCACCTACAGGTTCTGAGCCTGGCCGGACTAGGGGCACCAAGGCCAGCCCATGGAGGGAGAGGCGGGAAGAAGGCTGCCCTTCTTGAGGGGCAGCAAGGTGGAGGAAAGCCTGGTGGGCAGTGTCCAGTGGGAGGTGTGGGTGAGGTTAGAGCTCAGGGTCTGACACGGGCCCTTATGCTCTCCACAGAAAGGTGGTGGGTGACAACCAGAGAGCCCTTCGCCTCACATACATCCCTGCACCTGCCCAGAGGGCGAGCGCATCTGTGTTTCCCAATTACACGTGAGGAGAAGCTGGGAAGGGAGGATTTAGAGGCAAAGGAGTAGGGAGAAGGGGGAGAATGCCCTAAGCCGGTGACACATTCCTGCAGTGTGGGCCTCCCGGACTGAACGGCACAGGTGGTTTGTGTTGAGGTTTTTATTATTTTAAACGTTTTTAGACGCTCCTTTCGGTGGTGGTTTTATCTCTAGTTTCCCCCAAGCTCTGGGGCCCACATCTAAGACTTACCATCTCATTTAGATCATCTCAGAGATTTGTAGTAAGTTTCTCCTGTAGGCTACAGAGTGGTTGCCCTAGAACTCTTCCCCGCCCCCCAGTTTTATTGAGAAGTAACTGACACGCGTCACTGTATAAATTCCACATGTGACCACGCTAGGGTTAGCTACCACCCGTCATCTCGTGTAGATACAGGAAAAAGAAGGAAATAGGTTCTTCTCCTTGCGATGACAACATCGGATGCACTCTGTTAACCTTGCTGCACAGGCAGAGAGTGGGTTCCGTCCAGATCACTGCAATAAAGCAAGTCATGCCAAGTTTTTGATTTCCCAGCGTGTATAAAAGTTGTGTTTATGCTAGATTGTAGTCTGTTAAATGTGCAGTAGTATTATGTCTTTAAAAACGGAGACACCTTAATTAAAAAATGCTTAATTGCTAAAAAGCATGCCAACCATCATCTGAGCCCTCAGTGACACATAATCAGCCCTGGAGGGGCGAGCGCGGCAGGGTCGCAAGCTGTTTGTTTCCTGTTCTGTGGATGGTCTCACACCACTGCTCGCTTGCAGCCTCCTGGTTCAGGTTTCAGTGCTGCTCCATTTTTAACATTTCAGAGCATTTAAAGCCAGGTCTGCCCTATGGGAGATGCCCTCCTCCATCCCCTTCAAAGAAAAGCAGCTGCAGTTGGTGTGATTTTGGGCTCCAGGGACATGAGAGTGGCTCACCATAAAGGCAGTTGACACGAGACTTCTGGAGATGTACTTCCTTTTCTCCATTCCTCCCTTATTACTGTCTCTCTCTGAATCTGAGATGCCAAGCGTTAATTACATCCTGATTTCAGAAATGAAAAAGTACAAAATCATTTGTCTTAGAATAAACAAAAATGTGTGGTTTCTTCTCAAAGTCCACCTGGAGGTTGGTGCAGCTCCCCACCTCGTGTCAGGGGCCCCACCGTCCCGACCTGGCTTGGCTGCAGTGTGGTCACTGATGGTCTGTTATTAAACGCGGGTGGGTTTACCCACTGTCCTCACTGGGTAACGGAGATTACCTGCAACTGATGGGAAGAGTCGCTGTGCGGATGCGGCAGGTAAGGAAATTGGTACCAGCTTCGGTGCTGAATGGCAGCCCCGCAGCTACTGCATAATACAGCTGTGACCTGTCTATTCACTCTGTCAGATGTGATCTTTTTTTAACCTTTTATTAGGTTCAGGGAGCGAGTTTCCGAGGCTGGAAAGAAGTGACTTCGCTGTTTAACAAGGATGACGAGCAGCACCTGCTGGAAAGATGTAAATCCCCCAAGTCCAGAGGGTGAGTAGCTGCGGTCTGGACAGCAGCCGTTCCATTGGTGGTGGGGAGCAGGGCAGTGTGCAGGGACGCTGAGGGCTTCCTTCCCCGTGTGAGGAGACAGAAATGAGTCGTACTGATTTTGACAGTAAGCACTTAGAAAGATTATGGAAAAGTGGAAAAAAAGCTTCTCTGACCAGCTCTCAAACTTAACAGTAAAGAGAACTTATGAGCCTTAAAGCAGCTTGTAGCCATGCTTAAGGTGTGTAGTAGTTTCAGAAAATCAAGAAAAAAACCCAGTTAAAAATGCGAAGATTGGGCTTCCCTGGTGGCGCAGTGGTTGAGAGTCCGCCTGCCGATGCAGGGGACACGGGTTCGTGCCCCGGTGCGGGAAGATCCCACATGCCACAGAGCGGCTAGGCCCGTGAGCCATGGCCGCTGGGCCTGCGCGTCCGGAGCCTGTGCTCCGCAACGGGAGAGGCCACAACAGTGAGAG